AGGACAGAGAACCTGAGAATGCCCACATGCAGCGGGCACAGATGGCAGCACTGGCTGCCATGCGGGCTGCTGCCGCCGGCCTGGGACATCCACCCAGCCCTGGGGGCTCTGAGGACGGGCCCCCAGGCTCAGAGGATGAGGACTCGGCCCAGGAGGGGGCTCCGGGCTCCCCAGCCCTGCCTGGGCAAGGCGGGGAAGGCTCCAGACACACTGAAGATGCCACGCACTTGGAGGACTTGGGCTCCGATGAAGACCTGTGAGTGGTGTCCGCGGCGGCTGTCATCCTGAGCCTCACCTCCTGCAGGGAGGGCACCCTGGGGTTCCGTCATTGAGCAGGGGTGGTTGAGCACATGCCTGTGCTGGGGGGGCAGGCTTGAAGGAGCCACCGCTGTCCTCCTGGGCAGCAGCCCCTGGCGGTGTGCACCCTCACTGTGGGGGGTGCTGTCACACCTAGAGCTGGACACTGGGCGCGTGTCCAGTGTGACTGAGGGCCTGGGTGTGGCTGCAGCATCCCAGCCATGGGGCAGATAAAATCTGCAGCTAGGCTGGCCTGTGTGGAACACACTGCCCGGGTCTCCGCAGGGCCCACTCCTGGCAGGGAGGTGTCTCTGAGACCCTGTTGGTCTCAGGGAGCCCACAGTTTTCTGGGGTCCTTACCATGGGCAGAGGAGATGGTGCCAGGCCAGGCCAGGGATGTGGGAAGGCAGGCGGGTGCCAGGGCCAGCTTGGGCAGGAGTAGTGCTCCCCAGGCAGGGAGAGCGCCAGGGTCAGGCAGGCCCAGCAGAAGGAGCAGCCTTTGCCAAGGCCCCGGGCAGAGCCGCTCGGGTTCTCCCGGAGTTGGGAACTTCAGGGCATCCTGGGCGCCCGCAGAGTGGGCAGGCCCTATGGGCAGGGGCCTTCCCTCCCGCTTTCAGGGGAGAGACAAGGCTGGGCGGAGGGAAGGAGCCATGTCCAGCTCTCTGACCTGTGCCCTGTGCCCCCCAGGAAGCCGAAGTGGGAGGAGGAGGAAGAGCTGGAGGAAGACCTGGCTGACGAGGACGAGGACGACTACGAGGATGAGGGAGATGAGGAGGAGGAGGGGCTGGGCCCCCCAG